GACAGAAAGCAGAGGGTGGTGGTTAATGGGTGTTTCTCGAAATGGAAGGAGGTGTGCAGCGGTGTCCCCCAGGGATCGGTATTGGGACCACTGCTCTTTCTAATATATATTAATGATCTGGACTTGGGCATAGAGAGCACTATTTCCAAGTTTGCAGATGATACAAAGTTAGGTAGGGTAGTAAATAGTGAGGAGGACTGTAACCAACTGCAAGCAGACATACACAGAATGGTGGAATGGGCTGACATGTGGCAGATGGATTTCAATGTGGATAAGTGTGAGGTGATACACTTAGGTAGGAAAAATGATAGGAGGCAATATAGACTTGGTAGCTCAATCTTAAGGGGGGTGAACGTACAGAGAGATCTGGGTGTTCAAGTAAGCGAATCATTAAAAGTAGCGGGGCAGGTGGTAGATAAGCCAGTAAAAAAGGCATTTGGTGTCCTGAGCTTTATTAGTAGGGGCATAGAGCATAAGAGCAGGGAGGTTATGGTTAATCTATACAAAACACTGGTCAGGCCTCAGCTGGAGTACTGCGTCCAGTTCTGGGCACTTTACTTCAGGAAGGACATTAAGGCACTGGAAAGGGTGCAGAGGAGATTCACGAGAATGATACTAGCAATGGGGAACCTTAGCTATGAGGACAGGTTGGAGAAGTTAGGACTTTTCCCATTAGAGCAGAGAAGGTTACACGGGGACCTGATAGAGGTCTTCAAGATCATGAAAGGTTTCAACAGGCTAGAAAAGGAAAAGCTATTTCCGCTGGTAGATGTGTCTGTGACCCATGGTCACAGTCTTAAGATGTCTACCAAAAGAAGCAGAGAGGAGGTTAGAAGAATTTTTTTCACTCAGCGAGTTGTTCGAATTTGGAATGATCTGCCAGAAAGGGTAGCGAAGTCCGATTCGATAACAACTTTTAAGAGAGAACTGGATAGGTATCTGGGGAAGACGGGTTTGCAGGGTTATGGGGAGAAAGCTGGTGATTGGGGTTAGTGAAAGTGACTTGCTCTGTTCAAGAGCCGGCACAGACTCGATGGGCCGAATGGCCTCCTGTGCCGTAACATTCTATGAATCTATGAAAAAAAAGACAAGGATGGCTGGCACTAAGACAGTAAAACTCACTTAAGCCTTATCAGTCAGGAACATAACATTTCATGATTTACACAAAGTCTGAGTTGCAGACAAACTTGGGTAAGACGTATGAAGTCCAATTTAGTCAATAGTGTGTACTGCACATCACCTGCGTGACTCCATGCCACCGATAGTTTGTCACTGCAGCCAGTAAGTGCACATGCAGTGACGGGTCAAGACTATGTTTCCCGTGATTCAATGTGTTTTGACTGGTCACCGCCTGCACATTTACCAGCAAACATTGGAATCGCAGTGAATTGTGGGAATTGAAATTATTTTGCGCATGCATTGATAGATCAAGGACCTAATTTCCCACGATTCAATACAGCCGGTATGTGTGGGAGTAATGGAGAATAGGAGACGTGGAAATATGAGTTAGGAGATGATCAATATGACTAGTGCAAAGAAATCTAAATGCACCTTGCATTTGATATAGCGCCTTGAGAGCACTTGCCTTGAAAGCGAGAGACCTGGGTTCAGTTCCCAGCAAGGTGAAATCTTGGGCAAGTTTCCTTACTCCACACACCTGATAATAATCCCTCAAGAAAAAAAACAGTAATAAAATTGGTCACTTCAATCCAGGACTGTTTGTGGGACACTGCTGTGCTCAATTGACTGCCGCGTTTCGCCCACAAATATACAGTCAATTCACTTTACATATATTCTGTGAAGCGCTTTGAGACATCTAAAAGACGTGGAAAGCGCTATATCAAATGCAAGGATGATTATTATTATTACATCGTCGAGATGTCTCAAAGCACTTCACAGACTTGCCTAAGGTTTCGCCCTGCCCGGGAATTGAACTCGAGTCCTTGAGGCGAGCATGCTAACCATTACGCTAACCACCTTCTGGTCCCTCTCCTGTCCGACGTCATCAACCTCTCCTTGTCAACCAGTTCAGTTCCAACCCCCCTAAAAACAGCCGTCATCATCCCCATCCTGAAAAAACCTTCCCTGGATCCATCCCTCCTCTCCAACTACTACCCCATCTCTAACTTCCCATTCCTCTCCAAGTCCTGGAACGAGTCATCGTGTCCCAGCTCCGCTCCTTTCTCTCTCCCCATTCCCTCTTTGAACCCCTCCAATCCGGCTTCCGTGCTACCCACAGCACGGAAACAGCCCTGGTCAAAGTTATTCATGGCATTCTGAACATCTGTGATCAGGGCTCCCTCTGCCTCCTTGTCCTCCTCGACCTCTTTGCCGCCTTCGACACTGTCGACCACTCCATCCTCATACACCGCCTCTCCTCTTTATTCAATCTTCACGGACCTGCCCTTGCCTGGATCGAATCCTATCTCTCTCACCTACTCCACTTTGTTACCTCCAACAATTTCTCCTCCAGCCCCCGCACTGTCACGTCTGGCATCCCCCAGCGCTCTGTCCTTGGCCCTCTCCTCTTTAATATCTACATGCTCCCCCTTGGTGACATCATCCGCAGACATGGGGTCAACTGAGTTAACCAGAAGCATGGTACCCTGTATTTAGTGCTGACTAGCCAGCTTCCTGTGCTAAAAAGGTGCCAGGGCAGGTACTCAAGTCACTGCTGTCATGATTTCTTAAGTACACATGCACCTATGCACAGGAAAGACCATGAAATGTCACTTCCTGTGCATGTATGCAAGAGCCACAGACATCATGAGTGCTTCCAGTGCATAGAGCACGTGTAAAGCACGCAGGAAAGGACATAAGTGATTGTGTGACTTAGAAGTCATTTATTTTTTGGTACGTAGGAAGCTGATTACCACCAATGCACACTTTCTTCACAAAGTAACACTAGTAGTGCATCCTATGTTTAGGATGATTGCACAACATACAGGAAGTGATACAAGCATGCAATGTTTGGCCACAAGATATACAGTCAATTCATTTTGCAGTATATTCTGTGAAGCGTTTTGAGAAGCTTCCAAGACATGATAAGGTGCTATATCAAATGCAAGGATTATTTTTTATTATAATGCATAAGAGGTGACATCGGCGACAAACTGATGCATAGCTTTAAATTTAGCTCTAGATTTAGAGTGGCCAGTGTTTTGATGTGAAACTATATAATTTGAAGAGAGCCAGACAGTTTTCTGCAAACAATTTGGATTTTTTTGCTAAATAAATATCGGGATCCAAGCCCTAATCAAGCTATAAGCAAAACCCAGGTTATATTGAAACATGTTACAAATGGATTGTACTGTATTCTGCTTGTAAGCTAATAATAATAATAATAATAATAATAATCCTTGCTTTGATATAGCTTTGTATTACAGCAAAATATACAACAACAAGTTGCATTCATAAACCACCCTTCATATAATAATAATAATAATAATAATCCTTGCATTTGATATAGCGCTTTTCACGTCGGGAGGACGTCCCAAAGTGCTTCACAGAACACACTGTAAAATGAATTGACTGTATATTTGTGGGCGAACGCGGCAGCCAATTGCGCACAGCAATGTCCCACAAACAGTCGTAGATTGAAAATGACCAATTTATTATTGTTTTTGGTTTTGGAGGGATTATTATGAGGCGTGTGGAGTAAGGAAACTTGCCCAAGGTTTCGCCCTGCCTGGAATTGAACTCAGGTCTCTCACTTGCAAAGCGAGTGCTCTAACCACTGAGCTACAGGACTCCACGTGGGACTTCATGTGGGGTAGCATCTCGTACCTCTTAACAGTGAACGTAAGCATGGTTGAAGAGGGAAGTCTTCAGGCATGATCTGAAAATGGGGAAAGCGGGAGCAAGGCGGAGGGATTGGGGGAGAGAGTTCCAAAGCTTCAGGGTGTAATGGCTGAAAGCACAGCTGCCGATGGTGGAATGGAGGGGACGATGGATACGCAGGAGGCCGGAGCTAGTGTATGCAGTGTTTAATCTGAACATATACTAAATACGGAGTCCTGTAGCTCAGTGGTTAGAGCATTCGCTTTGCAAGCGAGAGACCTGAGTTCAATTCCAGGCAGGGCGAAACCTTGGGCAAGTTTCCTTACTCCACACGCCTAATAATAATCCCTCCAAAAAACCAAAAACAATAATAAATTGGTCATTTTCAATCTACGACTGTTTGTGGGACATTGCTGTGCGCAATTGGCTGCCGCGTTCGCCCACAAATATACAGTCAATTCACTTTACAGTGTGTTCTGTGAAGCGCTTTGGGACATCCTCCCGACGTGAAAAGCGCTATATCAAATGCAAGGATTATTATTATTATTATTATAAATAATGTGTAGAAGAATTTGTTAGTTATTCTAGCTCGTTTTGCTAGCAACAATAAATCAATCCAAACTTTCATCTGTTTGATGACCCTGGCATAACTAAATTCGATTTATTCTTCTCTTCCCAACTTGTCTTCTGTCATCTTCTCCAATTGTGACAAGCATAGATACTTATTGAAAGATGCCAGATGGAAACATGTGGACTGAATTCCACCTGCAAGTCAATCAATTTAAGCACACCAAAATTCATTTTAAACAGGGTATGGCAAATGGAAATGGAGTATTGAATCGAAAATCCAACTTCAGTTTTAAATCTCTTGCTGTCATAAAATTCAACTAAGTACATTTAGAAAGCAACATAAATTATTCCCTTTTAAATATGCTCAAAGTACAGCATTGGCAAGGTTGATTCTCTGAATTGTCATAGCCTTGAACTAAATGAGAATATTTGCCTTCTTTCAACACCTCATACTTCTGATAATTGTACTGGTTCCATATTTAACAATTCATTATGAATGAACCAATTCTAGTATTTCTCCTACAGTTTCCCACAGTGTGTTTGATTCCATTCTTAAAAGGTAACACTTTATGGACATTCTTGTATAGTAATGTACCATAATTTTTTTTTCTTTTCCTACGTGGATTTAGTATTTTTTTCTTCTTTTCCAGTGCTGGGCCCAAAGGAGACAACATTTATGAATGGAGGTCAACTATCCTGGGGCCTCCCGGTTCAGTGTACGAGGGTGGTGTCTTCTTCTTAGATATTACATTTTCGCCTGACTATCCTTTCAAGCCACCCAAGGTGCGTGCTCGTCAACTGCAAAGTAAAGCAATACTAACAAAGATGTATTCTTTATGCCTTTGTACGGATGTGAAAAACTATATTTGTACTTATTTTATAATGGAATGGTTAAGCAATGTTCCTCTTATAATAATAACATAATAATGATCCTTGCATTTGATACAGTGCCTTTCATGTCAAGAGGATCTCTCAAAACGCTTCACAGGATTTTCTGACTGTGATTTGTAAGCAAATGCAGCAATCAATTTTCACACAGCAGTTTCCTACAACCAACCATGAAATAAATGACTAATTTTATCTTGTGACTGTTGGCCAAGACATCTTAAAAGGTTTAAGGGTTACAGTCTCAGCATAGCTTCTGTTTTTCTTTCTGTTACACATGTAAAATAATTATTTATGATATACATTTCATTTCCAACCAGGGAGAAACAGCTTGATCTTTCATGAATCTACATGATGTGACACTATCATTGCTAGAATTTGTTTGTTCCATATGAACTTTTAGATTTATAAAATCTAATTTAATTCACACTATTGTGTCCACCTACAAAATACAATCACTATACTTTGCAAAAATCTTGTGAAATGCTTTGAGGTGTCCTCCAGATGTGAAAGGCGCTATACCAAACATGAGGATTATTATTATTAATTGTCATGATTACAGCTAAACAGACAGTGAAAAATTACATTTTCTGAAGTGTGGTAAGTCTGTAATTCTGAATTAATGCTCAACATTTTATATACTAGAGAAAACACAAAAAGATAGATGGTGAATATTGCAAATCTGAAAGAAGTCTAAATGCATTATTCAATCGCATTGTCTTTTAAAAGTCACACGATTGAAGTATTGAATTTGATCAATTCTATTCATCTTAATCGCCCTTATAATGTGATTCACAAACTATTGATACATAATCAAAATGTTGGAATAATCTCAAAAACTTCTATATGTTTTATAAAACCCCAAATTGATACTCTTTTAAAATTCAATATAACTTTGGATGAAAATTACATCTAAATGTGTCTTTCTCTACCTCTCTTCTGCAGGAAAAAGAATCTAACCTTCCAAATCTTAACTATGTCTGTCCTATGAGTCTTCTAACCCAGGCACAAATGCTACTGGCAAAATGTTATCTTGTCTGGAAACAACCTGTTTGCATTTGAAACATAAATAAATAATCCTGAATCATAGTCGACACACGCAACAGAATCGATTTTATAGGTAGGGTTTCCCAGACCACCATACCTTCAGTAATAATAATAATTTAGTAATAATAGGAAAGTAATGTTTGCATTTTACAGTTTGCATGTTGGGAGGAAGTCTCATCCACAGTGCTTCACAGGATTGACTTTAAAGTGTGGTAACTGTGCATTTTTTAAGTAAACGCAGCAGCCAATTTGCGCATAACAATGTCCCACAAACAGCCATCAAGTGAAAGAATAAATGATTAATATTACTTCGGGGACACTTGGCCATGACACTGGGGCAGAAACTCTCTTCTCTTTTCAATTAATGCCAGGGAATCCTAAACATCCTCCTGAACAGGCAGATACAACCTTGGTTTAACATCTCAACTGAAGGACAATATCTCCACACAATACCGTGCACCACCATCTGGCAGGGAGATCGTTGATAGTACAGTCGAAATTTATAACAGCAGTCAGTGCGGGGTAAACGTGAGGCAATCCCTAGATTCCAGCAAGGATAATGATCCTGGGGGAGTATATTTTTACTACTGCTACAACAAATTAAAGCTGTGATAGATCTTAAGGCATGTTTTGAAGATGGCAGGGAGGGAACAAGCCAAAGGGACTCTGTGATAGAGTTCCAGATAGTGGGGCAGAATGGCTAATGACTCACCTACTGATGGTGGAGTAGATCGGACAGGTGACATTAAGTCGGCCTAAGTTAACTGAACGGATGGAGCAAATGGGACAGTACGGACACAGGATGTCATCGAGGTAGGGTGGGGCAAGGTTACGGAGGGATTTGAAATTGAGGACGAGGTTCTTGAATCTAGTTCACTAGGGGATTGGCAACCAGTACAGCTGAACCAAGAGATTTAGTAGCAAAGCCTAAAATTCTAGTTAAAATAATAAAAATGAAGACAGTGAAGAGAAAGAGAAAATAGAGCAATGCAGAGGAGCCTGAAGTAATGCTTTTAATTATTGAATGTTTTAATGTATATTTTTACATTAGTAAAAGTGCTGTCTTACTATCACAGTGTGTGAGCTCAAAATTGTAAAACATTCGACTCTCCCAGGATCATTTTCTGCTTGGATCTAAGGGTTAACTCACATTTATCTTGCAATGTACTTAGTGCTGCAACATATTAAACACTTTGATGAAAGTACTGCAAGCTGCACAAAACCACAATTGCAGAGGTACAGAAAATATCTGTGGGTTTTCAGCTACACTAACTGTTTGATTTGATTTCTTAGCTGATAATAGTATCTGTGGACATAAATAAGATCAAAGGGTCCACAACAAAAATATAGAGTTTGCATTTATTGGAAAACTACAAGATAACTTAAAATTAATATAGTTATCTGTAAACAAAAAGGCTTTGGATTGTAATCAAATACATACACGGCTTTTCTAACTCTGAAATAGAATACCCTGCTTTCACACAAAAGCAAACAGGAAAAAAAATTCAAAAGGATTCAGAGGTCGAAAATTTCCTTCAATCTTAACCTAAGAACATCACCTTAAAATTTAAGATCATTCAGAATCTGATAAAATTTAAAATTCTTTCCTAATTTGGAAACAGTTTTTCCATCATTCTTGAAAAGAGTGGTGGTAAATTGGCTTCCAAAGACTGATCTTAAGATTAATCCAACATTCTGCTCTCTTAAATTTTAATTGTTATGGCTAAAACCATAAGAATATTTTGTCCTCAGATTTGTGATCCAGTTGGACAGACACATGATGGGTTATATTTAGCATAGTTCATTATGATATAGTAAACCTCATATAAGTTGTATCAGTTGGGACCATACATTTAATATGACTTATTATGTGTGAGTTGTCAAACTTGCATAAGTCATATCATATATGTAAAGCTATGTATAAATCGGATTTTATATGACTAACACATAACAAATACAGTACAAAAGTTCTGTACTGCTGGTGACAAGGGTGCGAGGGCACAGAGAGCACTGGGGTGCGCATGTGCGGTGTTCTGTTTGAGGTAGGCGCAGGAATCAAGGTTTTGACCCGGCAACCAGTAAGTTTGGTAGTGGCAACTGCTGAAGTGGGGTTACAAGTTACCCGCTTGTTAATATGACTAACCTGTTTAAATTTAAGTGGATTTAATAGGAAATTGAACAGGACTTGAGCAGGTGTACAATTTAGGCGATCATACGATTTATACAGTTCAGACATATGCAAGTTTTACTGAATATCTATCCAGCAATTCATTGGTCAATAGCAAAGCTCTCTCAAAATATCCACACAGCATTTGCCACCTCCAGATATGCCGGCCATGTAAACAAGGTTTTCTCCAGGGAATCTCCCTTCGGTCGTGCAGTTACATAACCTCAGCTCCAGTGAGGTCTTAGGTTTGAAGGGAGGAGTAATTAACATAGTTTTCAGGTTTATGCTACAATGTTGCTGAACAACTAATTATAATGTGTGGGGTGGGGTTACTGAGCCTTGTGGAATCAAATGGGAGCATATTAGTGGTGTTTCGTAACTATCAAATGCAGTATATAAATACCTCAAAATATCACTCTTTACCATATTCAACTGTTGTAGCCTTTATATAACATTAAGCAGCCCAGGAAATCAACAAGGAAATCTAAAAAAAGGAAAACCTTTAAAACAGCAATCTGCATGCTATAAAGAGGATAATACAACAACAATAACAACAACAAAATTTCATTTGTATAGCACCTTTCAGGTCAGAAGGACGTCCCAAGCCGTTGGGATTCTAGTTTCTAGTGTATATTATGCACTATAAATACCATTATATTTTTTTTCCTACACATCAGTTGTGGGATTTTTCCCTGACTTGAATTTCCTGGTTAAGATTCTCTCCAATGCTTAGGGCTGATCCTTCAAGATTGCATTTATCAAGCAAAATTAACATCCAGTAAATTATTGGAGGCAAATTTAGCATTAACCCACCAGACTAAACCCAGGTTACTGGACTCCAAGATTAATTGGTCCTGGACAGTTTTCTGTACCCATGTCTATATGTTGGGCAAGTTTCCTTACTCCACATGCCTCTGATTACCTAGCAGTTAGTTGATTGATGGATCGCTTTACTCAGGATAATAATTCCTTCAAAAAAAATTGATCACTTCAATCCACGACTGTTTGTGGTACACTGTTGTGCGCAATTGGCTGCCACGTTTCGCTCACAAAATATACAGTCAATTCACTTTACAGTATATTCTGTGAAGCGCTTTGGGACGTCCTCCCGACGTGAAAAGCGCTATATCAAATGCAAGGATTATTATTATTATCTCAAAGACATGATAAGGCACTATATCAAATACAAAGATTATTATTATTATAGTACTTGGACCCATGTGAAGATTGTTAGTCATTTGATCCATTAGAGAGCCTCCTAAGTTTTATTTAAAATGAAATGCAACCCTAAACCTATGCTCTCTTGTTTTGATGCCTTGGTGCATTCAAAAGTGATGTTCTGGGTTTCATTTCCCAATCCCATTTAAAATTTATATACCTCTTATAAGTGCCCTTTGAGACATTTCTTTTCATGACTGATGAAATCTAGTTTGTCGAATCGATACTCATAGCTCATTTCTCTAGGGATACTCCTCGTTGCTTTCCTCTGCGTTATTTCTAGGGCCTGGGTAGCCCACTTAGGTTGAGGCAACTAGAACTGTGCTCCAGATGTGGCCTGACCAGATCACTGTGCACCTTTGTATGACTCCTGGGAGCTCTAATTTAACAATATAGCCCAGCATCTAGTTTTTCTTGTTTACTGAAGCCTGTTTTGACAGGTGAGCTACGAGTCAACTAGCATGTC